ATATATATATATATATATGTTGTGTGTAATATATATACATTTGTGTGTGTATAATATATATATATATATAGTGGTCTTTATGAAGATAGAACATGTAATGAAGTTTCGAAACATATGATTTTCAATAGTCTTAACATTAATTTCATAAGAAGTGGAGTTCATAGAAGACACACGTTTTTAACTCTGGTCTCTTTTTTAATTTATTGCTTAACAGTCGTTGGACTGTTAGAATTAAAATAACAATATTATAATGCTTATCCCGTGAACCATGGGACGTGTTTTGTATCCAGTAGATAAAGCACTAGTGTATGTATGTGTGTGTGGTGGGGGGGATATTTTCTAATATTGGAGAAGAATATAGAATGTATTTATAAAAATGCATCTAAATAACATTATAAAATATAATTGATAAAAATAAGAAAAGGATAAGAAAAATAGGAGACCAGAGGCATCAGAACTCATGTATTCCAGACTTAGGACTTAATTGGACATTGCTATCGAGGTTACCACAGCCTATCGTAATAATAAGGGTCATTGAACTTTGCTCTGATGTTGACCTGTGACTTAAATAACTGAACATTTAATATTAGTGACAGTATTCAATATCTGACAAATGTCAATACTCTATTTCTAGCAATCAAAGCAGTACACAAGATATTAGAAGAACGAACAATGCAGGCTACAACAGTCACTGGGCATATATCTTTGTGCATGCGCGCGCAGGTCTTTTGGGGAAGACTGTATTCTAAATTATTGATAAGTCTGCTGCCCGTGTGATCAAAAGTAAGGGTCTTTTTAGGTTTAATGGCACAGATCCTCACAGCTGTGTGTTCATGTATTAAGGCTATTTAGTAGTAGTTTGCTCCAAGTTCGAGTCAGATCCGATAAAAATACAATGTGTATTGATTTTGAATCAGTAATTGACGAAGTAAAGTGAATATAAACGATTTTATGGCTACACGCAGTGTTGTGAATCAGAAACTAAGTAACTCCATGTTGTGAATCAGAAACTAAGTAACTCCATGTTGTGAATCAGAAACTAAGTAACTCCATGTTGTGAATCAGAAACTAAGTTACTCCATGTTGTGAATCAGAAACTAAGTAACTCCATCAGTCTGTTTATCTTTGCATAGTATGTTTGTTTGTTTTGAATTCCGCGCAAAGCTACACGAGGGCTATCTGCGCTAGCCGTCCCTAATTTAGCAGTGTAAGACTAGAGGGAAGGTAGCTAGTCATCACCACCCACCGCCAACTCTTGGACTACTTATTTACCAGCGAATAGTGGGATTGACCGTCACATTATAACGCCCCCACGGCTGAAAGGGCGAGCATGTTTGGTGTGACGGGGATTCGAACCCGTGACCTGCAGATTGCGAGTCGAGCGCCCTAACCACCTGGCCATGCAGGGCACCTTTGCATGGTAAACGTACAGTATCCATTAATTTTACTTTAAAACAGCAATAACATAAAATCCATGCTTCTTCTTTTAAAACCTAATTACAGTTTTCACGAAACATCAAAATGATACAAATTTCATGATATAAACAAGTTTTCACTTTGCGAAACTCAAAAGGAGCTCCTAGTCATGCATGGATTATATATATGCATGAAGATTTATTTTTTTTGTCCATAGATTTTTTCGGTAAATAATTTTACTGTTGTTTAAATAACTCACCGAATCGAGTTTGTCGTTGATTTCTCCTAAGTCTTCTCTTTGAAGATGAGCAAATGTATTATTCAATGATTGTTAACGCTCGTTCATCACTGAGTTCGTAACGTGCTTCTTTGTTTGTTTACAGCGACACACGCGCACGCACACCCATACGACTTACAAATGTACAAATTATTGCAGTAAAACCCTGGATATCGTTAATCAAATTTTGAACGAATAAAAACAAACAAACAATAATTTATCCTATAGCTTGATGGGAATGTGCCGAATTTGCATCCCTGCTACATTTCAAATTTCACGTAATTCTTTTCTCATAATACCTACACTTACTTATACGAAACTAAATAAAAGATTCATGGCGATTTTCGCTGTTGGAAAGTTTTTGATTTTATGCTAATATCGGAACATTTACAAGAATATCGTTCAATGTGCAGAATAATAAAGAGGAATACTCTAAAAGCTTTCCCTGCCAAAACAACACTATTGATTTCATGGAATATATGGAATAGACTTTTTTTTATCACTTCCAAACTTCTCGTGGGTGAGTATAACCGCCTAGCGAGGCTTTAAAATTCATTAAAGACAAAACTGTTATAATAGAATTAATTCAAAACAACAGTAGTATCCTTTTTATAAAGAACAAATACACGATAAATAACGTTTTCTTAAAACAACTGTGGCATCCTTTTATAAC